ACAGACAGACAGAGAGACAGACAGAGTCCTGGTGACACAGATGCGTGGCTGCAGAGGGAGGAGGCTCACCGTGGTGTACTTCCCGAGCTGGCAGAGCGAGGGGAAAGTCTCCTTATGTGCTTTTCGAACCCGGTCGATCATCTGCTCTGTGTCTGGACTCAGGACGTAGCTCTCTGTGCACTCCTGCTTCTTCTCATCCTTTTTCTTCTTGTTCCTATCGTTCCTGACGGCTGTGGGAAGAAGTCACAAGTCTGTTACCGGCGTCAAAGATCGGAAAGATTTAAGAATTACAAACAGGCTTTTAAAAAACGTATCAATGTGGGTCATTTTGACAAAGGAGATGTGTTTAGACATGTAGCTCCGCCCCTTCTGTCTAAAAGCTCTCGTCTCAGTCTTGTAATACTATGATGTCATTGTACCAGTATGACATCACACTCAAACATTTCCAATAAATTAGATTCAGTTATTTCTGAGGTGAAATTAAGTTATTTCCAATCCCAGTCTGTTTTTGCAGCCGATAATTTTTTAATTCGGAAAAAACAAAATATATTCTTCACCTCCCTCTGATGGTAGCACAGGGATAGGGCAGGCCGGGAGCATTATTCACCCTTCACACATCCTTAATAATAATAATGCATTGGTTTGATACAGCGCTTTTCAGGTCACTCAAAGACACCTCACATGCCTTTAAACCACTACAGTAGCCACAGCTGCCCTGGGGCACACTGACAGAAGCGAGGCAACCAGTCTATGCCATCGGCCGCTCCCACCACCACCAACCATTCACACACACACCAGACTCATTCAAATGTGGGTGAAGGACACAACACCAGTTTGGCACTTTACCGCCGCAGCCGCCCCACTGTGGCACCTGGTGTTCCCGGAGGTCTCCCATCACAGTACTAACCAGGCCCTGCCCTGCACAGCTTCAGAGACCTGACAGGATACATAAATTCATGGCAGTAGAGTGAGGGCAGAATGATGAGAACCTCTTCCACACAGATTGGTAATATGTATGTTTTAATATTTTCAAGCCGCTCCGTCAGATTAGAACTATAGCCACTGGAATTACAGCTGGCTTCGCTTTCATCCACGTCGACCCACAATGCTTAGGCTCAGGTACATCACATATAATACTCCCGACCTCTGCACAGTTCAAGGTAAAGTTAGATTAGGATCAGTGTGGTCCACGAGCAGAGCGGCCATGTCCTTGCTATCCACCGGCCTGAGATGAATGCGTGGCAGCCCTGGAGCGCGCGCTGAAGGCCTATGGTAATGGCACGAAAAAGCCTTGAAATAATCCTGCACCCCCCCACCCCCTCTGGGCGGGCGGGCTGAGGACGTGCGAGCCCCAAATGACAAAAAACACCAGGCAGGCGCGGCGTTTAGCATCAGAATCACATTACGGCCGTGATCCATTTCTTGAGGCCGATCGGCGCTGGGTGCAGTTTAGCGCCGAGTCGGCTGCGTCTGAGTTAAGTCTGGGGGCGGCGAGAGGAGAGGGTGCCACTTGATAAATAGTGCCGGGGGAGGGAGCTATCCATAAGGCTGACAAATGGCCACAGCTTTCATTAGGGGTCCTGGCTAATCTAATAACATAATATGACAAATATCCTGCCTCTAATGGTTTTCAAAGGACTTTGCTGCGGAGCCCAGAGCAAAAACAGAACTAGCTGACTGTTTGCATGTCCCTCCTGCTCCCTTTCATATGTGACACAATGCCTGTATGCTGTGATCTTAGATTCTATTATTTAAACATTGGAACTTTTAATTATTGCTGCATTTGAGGCTCTGATGATGGCCCTCACCTGCACTGGCCCTGTCACTGGTCTGGGATCAGATTTGTCTTGTCTCAATCCTAACCTTGACTAATAGGGCACATGTGTGGGGCTGATGGGAGAACAGGGTGTGTGTGTGTGTGCCTGTGTTTGTGTGTGTGTGTGTGTGTGTGACAGAGGACCTGGCTCAGAGCCAAGGTGCCGCACTCCTCAGCACCGCTGCTCATTCATCAGCCTCAGACAGACACCTGCTGGAAACATGGAGTCAGTCTGTGAGCGACCTGTGCACACGGCTGGAGCTACTGTCATACAGCGATACTGCTGCTACTGATGCTACTGCTGCTGCTGCTGCTACTGCTGCTAGTGCTTCCACTGATGCTAACATTTCTTAATAACTGTAAATAACTTTGTAGTTTATAAAGATTGAAAAGCAGCTGGTACATGTAGTTCTGTGTGTGTGTGGTTCTGTAGTAAACCTGGAGGTAGATTCACCTTGAGGCTAACGAGTCTGGAACATGTTTTTCAAATGTCCAAGGGACATTTTCAGAAACCATCTGACCCACATGGTCAAATGGTTGTCCCTGAGACACAAAGTGAGCAGTCACCAGAGAGGAATGTTCCAGAGTCTAAACTCTGCAGTAACACACACATGAAGCAGCTTCAGTCACAAATGCTCCAGTTATTTAGAAGAAACACTGCTCAGTCCTGGGACCAACAGACTGTGTCACAGTCCATGACTGACACACGCACAAGCGCACACGCACACGCACAGACGCACACAGACTCAAACACACGAGGCATCCCCAGCGCAAAGGAATAACGCAGCCTGACAAATTGGCAGCACAATCATAAGCTGCACAACACAATTTAATGAAGTCATTAAAGAACTATTAAGGCAGACTGGCGATCTGTCAGGGAGAATTGCCACATGCAATAACTTGGGGGGAGGAGGACTGTGGCAGAGCAGCACAAACTCAAAAATATACAGCCTGGATTTGTGGCCGCTCATCCGTTAGCTGTGCGTGAGACCGCGGGCCATGCATCACTCAGAATGTATTAGGAGAAAATGAATGCTAATGGTGCAACTTGCATCGCGGATTGTTTGTGGTTATGTGTTCATTGCATAAATATGATTTAGAGGCGGCACAGAGACACATACAGAAGACTGCAGCACACGTTGCCAACATCTCTCAATCATTTTAGCCGCACACTGCAGTTAATAAGACACTTTCTGCTGTGTGTGTAGCCACAGCGAGGTGTGTAGCCACAGCGAGGTGTGTAGCCACAGCGAGGTGTGTAGCCACAGCAAAGTGTGTACGCAACAGTGAGGTGTGTAGCCACGGCGAGGAGCACACACGGATAATTCGAGTGAGGAAAATTAAAGCCATGGCAGCTCGTCCATCACACAGATTAAATTAAATGGAAAGATAAAAATGTCAACGTTCCTGCTCCTGCTGCTCCGAGTGCAGCAGCAGCAGCAGCAGCAGCAGCAGCAGCAGCAGCAGCAGCAGCAGGAGACAGTGATGAAACTTTGTCTGGGTGTACCCTGCAGCCTCCTCACCCGCCTCCAGCCTCCTCTCCCCCCCTCTCTTTCTCCCTCTCACTCTCTCTCTCTCTCTCCTCATCTTATCACACTCTCCTGTAATTCTCCATCATTCTGGGCATCATCTTATACCACTTTTATTACTTTTTCTATTGCAGCAGCAAAAAGAACATCTGAGTGATTTGTGGCAACAACAAAAATAGAGGGAGGTAGTGATAAAAGGCTAAAAGCAGAATGTACGGATAAACACAACATTAAAACCAACAGCCCATTATTTAATCACTGACCTTTCCTTCTATACTCAACAATATTCATATTTACTGAACAATGCAGATATGTATCAGTGGTTTTGATCCCAGAACACAGTCTGCTCTGTCTCAGCGCTCTGTCTCAGCGCTCTGTCTCAGAGCTCTGTCTCAGCGCTCTGTCTCAGCGCTCTGTCTCAGCGCTCTGTCTCAGCGCTCTGTCTCAGCGCTCTGTCTCAGCGCTCTGTCTCAGCGCTCTGTCTCAGCGCTCTGTCTCAGCGCTCTGTCTCAGCGCTCTGTCTCAGCGCTCTGTCTCAGCGCTCTGTCTCAGCGCTCTGTCTCAGCGCTCTGTCTCAGCGCTCTGTCTCAGCGCTCTGTCTCAGCGCTCTGTCTCAGCGCTCTGTCTCAGCGCTCTGTCTCAGCGCTCTGTCTCAGCGCTCTGTCTCAGCGCTCTGTCTCAGCGCTCTGTCTCAGCGCTCTGTCTCAGCGCTCTGTCTCAGCGCTCTGTCTCAGAGCTCTGTCTCAGAGCTCTGTCTCAGAGCTCTGTCTCAGCGCTCTGTCTCAGCGCTCTGTCTCAGCGCTCTAGATCTAAAACTACCTTTTCTGTAAAAAAACCATTGACAGAAGAGAGAAATGACACTGTCCTTTGTGCTGCACCAGCTGCCACCACTAGAGGGCGCTCCCTACCCATGTCATTTGACTGAGGCATGCAAGTGTGTCCATGCCTTTCTAAGCATGATTAATGGGCCCATTCAAAGGTAAGGAGCTCAGAGGATAACTTCTTTTACAGTGAGCCACAGAGTGGAGGAGTGGGGAGTGCTCTCTGCTCCTGCTGTATCACAGTCTCTGAGTAAATAGTGCTGAGAGACAAGAGTCCAGGGACCGAGCAGAACACAATGTGTGTGTTTTAACAGGTGTGTGTCTCCAACAGGCCTCACCATGGAGCAGTGTTTGCATTCTGCAGATACCAAACAAAGCAAGCAGCGCCTTGTGCTTACTTCACAGATCACATGACCTGTGTGCTCACACCAGCGAGGTGTGTGTGTCTGTATGCGTGTGTGTCTGTATGTATGTGTGGATGAGTGTGTGGATGTGTGTGTGTCTCTCTCTGTGTGATGTGTGTGTAAATGTGTGTGTCTGTATGCATGTATGTGTGGATATGTGTGTGTGTGTGTGTCTGTGTGTGTCTCTCTCTGTGTGGATGTGTGTGTGTGTGTGTCTGTATGTGTGTGTGTCTGTCTGTGTGTGGATGTGTGTGTGTCTCTCTCTGTGTGTGGATGTGTGTGTCTGTGTGTCTGTATGTGTGTGTGTGTCTCTCTCTCTGTGTGATGTGTGTGTATATGTGTGTGTCTGTGTGTGTCTGTGTGTATGTGTGTGTCTCTCTGTGTGTGTGTGTGTGACAGTGCCAGGGGGCAGGATGGAGCAGACGTCTGCTCTTTCAGACTCTGCAGGTGAGAACAGACTCGTCACAGAGGCTTGTCGTCGCGGCAACACCCTGCCTGCTCTGTCAGCCTGCATCAGTCTGGATGTGGACGTTTAAGGTAAAACCAGAGCGTTTGTGATGTTTGTGATGTTTGTTAGTGAGATACTCACACTCCTTGGACATTCCCACTTCCAGGCACTTCTGCAGCCGGCAGTACTGGCAGCGGTTGCGTGTGACTTTGTTGATGATGCAGTTCTTTTCCCGGTGACAAGTGTACACCATGTTTTTCTGGATACTTCTTCGAAAGAATCCCTGAAACACAACAACATAAACACAATCAGACGGTGTCCTCAGAGGAACGCCAACAGATAAATAGAGCAAAGGCCATGCCCCTCTGCAGCTGCTGAGCGCCAATGAACTGGCAAACAGGTAAATCTCTAAAGGGTTTAACCCCGACATAATCTGGACAAAGACTAAGAATCACAGTTCCTCTCATCTGCTCCAGGACATGAGACTCACACACACGTGCAGCAGGACACGGGAGCTGATGGGACTTCACACACTGCCACATGTTCAACTCAACTCATGCAAAGGAGGATTATGTCAGAAAAACAAGGATAAAGACGAAAAAGTGTCATTTGTAAACTGTAATTTTACCATTTGTTTTAATTATATTAAATATTCCATTGATTTACTAAAGATTTATCAATAAATTCCACGTACTGAGTTTGAAACGTTTGTTGAGACAAAAACGGATCTGATGATAAAGAATAGTAGATCTTTTTGGGGGATTTGAACGTCCACATTCGATCTGGCGAAATAGTTCTTGGAAAATAATGTTTTTAAACCCTGCCCATGAAGAGCAGCGGTCCACAGGGAAACGCTGAGGCTGTGGACAAATGAAATGCAGGTCAATGTCTGTATTGATTGCAGTAGGTCATGTTGTGGTGGGCGGGGCCTGGCGATGGGAGAGAGCAGTGGGCGGGGCCTGGCGATGGGAGAGAGCAGTGGGCGGGGCCTGGTGATGGGAGAGAGCAGTGGGCGGGGCCTGGCGATGGGAGAGAGCAGTGGGCGGGGCCTGGCGATGGGAGAGAGCAGTGGGCGGAGCCTGGCGATGGGAGAGAGCAGTGGGCGGGGCCTGGCGATGGGAGAGAGCAGTGGGCGGGGCCTGGCGATGGGAGAGAGCAGTGGGCGGGGCCTGGTGATGGGAGAGAGCAGTGGGCGGGGCCTGGCGATGGGAGAGAGCAGTGGGCGGGGCCTGGTGATGGGAGAGAGCAGTGGGCGGGGCCTGGCGATGGGAGAGAGCAGTGGGCGGGGCCTGGTGATGGGAGAGAGCAGTGGGCGGGGCCTGGCGATGGGAGAGAACAGTGGGCGGGGCCTGGTGATGGGAGTGCGGGGCCTGGTGTGAGGGGTGTGTGGCAGGGAGCCCCTACTCCCCATGCTGAGGGATTAGCTCTGCCAGCCGACAGATGGCCCATGGACCTAAGCCCGCAATTTGTCCTTCCTGGATCACTGGACTTTATCAGCCGCCTCTCCACACAAACAGTAGTATGCACTTTGACCTTTTTTTACAAAAACAAATATTGAATTAATGAGCGAACGAGTACTTAGTTGTAAAGTGGTGTGATCCCAAATGTTTTGATCTACTACACCTGGAACAATTTACACTATGCAGGACTACAAATAAAGACCAGCTTTCTGGATGTCTTCCAATTCAAATCCTGTTAAATCCTTATTAAGAGGCCAGTTAGCACTCAATAAAACAACAAAGGCAGCGCAGACAACACACCGGCTGCTGCTCAGACTCTGCTGCTGCTGTGGAGCTGGATCAGTGTTGATAATGTCCTCTTTGATCTGCCACTGGCCTGACCCTGACCCCAGAGTCACGGGGATTGACCTTGTCCCTCCTGACAACACCAGGCTCAGGTGCCCTCTCGTGCCACCTCCTGATTGGCTGGGGGGCTGCCTTTGTCCCTCCTCCTTTAGGAGTCATTGCTTCCTGTGGCCCTTAAGCCTCTTTTTGTATCACGGCTTTAATCCACTCGGCGACAAGAGCCCTCAGCGGGCCGCTCTGCAGCCTGCAGTGTTCAGACAGAGAGGACAGAGGACAGAGCACGCTGCTGCTGTGAGAGTGTGATGCCCGTTCACAGCTGTCCACCTGGTGGAGAGCTGTTACCAGAGGGCGCTCCTTAAAGGAACCACAGCAGCCTCAGCAGCGTCAGGGTTGTGGGGTTCAGAGCTGGGCAGAGGAATCCTCTGTGTGCGACTTTCACAATGCTGCAGATTAAGAGCCTTCCCAGCCTCCTACTGCGCCCTGTGCACGCGCACATTCCCCGCGCCCCTTCCTTCCTCGATTACTGAGATGAATGTGAGAGGAAGACCACAGCAGATAGGGACTTAATGGCTGCAGGGGATTTTAGAAATATGGGCTTTCCTTCTAAATACAGTGAATACCATGGAAAAAGAGAGCCCCTGCTGAGAGCTGCCATGCCTCCAAGACAAAAACATAAACAGGAGAGGGCGGCTGTGCATTTTTAATGTTCATGTGTTAATATCTGGAGGGGGGAAAAGTGCACCGGCAGTAGGAACTTAAACAACAAACGGAATGAGTTGTCTCCAAGCAGCAGAGCTCAGCATCCCTCCTGTTCAGTTCCTGTGTGCATCCAAGCCTCAGGAAATACCTTTGTAGTTGGGCACAGAGCCGCACAAGCTAAAGCAGCTAACCCTCAGATTACCCCAGTCTCAGATGAGACAGCCATACGTTCACATGCCTGTACTCTTGAATTATTGATATTAAGCTGTAGCAACTCTTCTCTTCAGAAGTCAAGACGATGGAGAAGAAGGCGATCTGAATTTTCAATTATGCGATAGAGCGAATGGGCAGAACTGTTACCTCTGCTTTCTCCAGAGTCATTTAAAAAACGTATTGTTGGGTCAGGAATGTTTGAAACACATCTTGTAAATAAAGCCATCAATGTGATTTTTCTATCTAGAACCCAGAACCCTCACGTCACGATGAGAATAATATACAGTGATTTGGGTTCTGGGTGTGGCTTTTCCTCTTGTACTGATCAAGCTCAAATGGCTCCTAAACGATGACAAATGAATACATGAGGCTTGTCCCTGTCGTACACTATCATCACAAAGATAATTAGTGTGTCTCTTTACTGAGGCGTCAGCAAACACTGCACTGACAACTTCAGAAGAAATACTAATTCATCACGTTTGGTGTTCACTGTGAGACCAGAGCTTTGACCACGATAGAGACTGAACTTAACAGAAAAGTATGGATGAAAACAGCTGCATCCACACGTCGTCAATATATGTGACGTCATTTACCTTCAGAGATTCACACAATGTTCACACCATCACTGCTTCTACTGTAGCATGACTGTAGCATGACTGTAGCATGACTGTAGCATGACTGTAGCATGACTGTAGCATGACTGTAGCATAACCGTAGCATAACTTTAGCATAACTGTAGCATAACTTTAGCATAACTTTAGCATAACTTTAGCATAACCGTAGCATAACTTTAGCATAACTGTAGCATGACTGTAGCATGACTGTAGCATAACTGTAGCATAACTGTAGCATGACTGTAGCATAACTGTAGCATAACTGTAGCATAACCGTAGCATAACTTTAGCATAACTTTAGCATAACTTTAGCATAACTTTAGCATAACTGTAGCATAACTTTAGCATAACTTTAGCATAACCGTAGCATAACTTTAGCATAACTGTAGCATGACTGTAGCATGACTGTAGCATGACTGTAGCATGACTGTAGCATAACTTTAGCATAACTGTAGCATAACTTTAGCATAACTTTAGCATAACCGTAGCATAACTTTAGCATAACTGTAGCATGACTGTAGCATGACTGTAGCATAACTGTAGCATGACTGTAGCATAACTGTAGCATGACTGTAGCATGACTGTAGCATAACTGTAGCATAACTGTAGCATAACTGTAGCATAACTGTAGCATAACTGTAGCATAACTGTAGCATGACTGTAGCATGACTGTAGCATAACTGTAGCATAACTGTAGCATAACTGTAGCATAACTGTAGCATAACTGTAGCATAACCGGACCAGAGTTCTTCCTTTGTGCAAGAGATGACCTGAAGTTGGTAACTTGTCTTTACTCTCAGTTTTATGGTTGTGTTCCTTGAAATACATTGTTTCAATTCGCTACATGCATGATTTGGACGTGTGTCAGATGTGTTTGAGAGGATGTGAGAGCAGGGACAGTCCCGGATGGGAGACCTGCCTCTGCCTCTGTGACGGATGGACCAAAGGTGAGACTCGTAGAATAGTTGCATCTCCAGATCATATCGTTTCCATCTAACGTCCCAAACTTTGTCTTTCTTTACCACTTCATCAAAGGATCTTACATTTGTAACTAATTATACTTTCTGTGTTATAACCAGAGCGGCGCCTGTAAAACACATTAGTGTCTGGAGTGAGTTATGTTTCTATGGGGGAGCGCCATGAGGCTGTGAACGCAAAAGCACCTTCATTACACAACTTTGAAGGCGACGGAAAATTGGACACGGCCAAACGTCATAAGAATATGATCCAACAGAAGAAGCTTAAGAATATGATCCAACAGAAGAAGCTTAAGAATATGATCCAACTAAAGAAGCTTAAGAATATGATCCAACAGAAGAAGCTTAAGAATATGATCCAACAGAAGAAGCTTAAGAATATGATCCAACAGAAGAAGCTTAAGAATATGATCCAACAGAAGAAGCTTAAGAATATGATCCAACAGAAGAAGCTTAAGAATATGATCCAACAGAGGAAGCTTAAGAATATGATCCAACAGAGGAAGCTTAAGAATATGATCCAACAGAAGAAGCTTAAGAATATGATCCAACAGAGGAAGCTTAAGAATATGATCCAACAGAAGAAGCTTAAGAATATGATCCAACAGAAGAAGCTTAAGAATATGATCCAACAGAAGAAGCTTAAGAATATGATCCAACAGAAGAAGCTTAAGAATATGATCCAACAGAGGAAGCTTAAGAATATGATCCAACAGAAGAAGCTTAAGAATATGATCCAACAGAAGAAGCTTAAGAATATGATCCAACAGAAGAAGCTTAAGAATATGATCCAACAGAAGAAGCTTAAGAATATGATCCAACAGAAGAAGCTTAAGAATATGATCCAACAGAAGAAGCTTAAGAATATGATCCAACAGAAGAAGCTTAAGAATATGATCCAACAGAGGAAGCTTAAGAATATGATCCAACAGAAGAAGCTTAAGAATATGATCCAACAGAAGAAGCTTAAGAATATGATCCAACAGAAGAAGCTTAAGAATATGATCCAACCTTAAGAATATGATCCAAGAAGAAGCTTAAGAATATGATCCAACAGAGGAAGCTTAAGAATATGATCCAACAGAGGAAGCTTAAGAATATGATCCAACAGAAGAAGCTTAAGAATATGATCCAACAGAAGAAGCTTAAGAATATGATCCAACCAACAGAGGAAGCTTAAGAATATGATCCAACAGAAGAAGCTTAAGAATATGATCCAACAGAAGAAGCTTAAGAATATGATCCAACAGAAGAAGCTTAAGAATATGATCCAACAGAAGAAGCTTAAGAATATGATCCAACAGAAGAAGCTTAAGAATATGATCCAACAGAAGAAGCTTAAGAATATGATCCAACAGAAGAAGCTTAAGAATATGATCCAACAGAAGAAGCTTAAGAATATGATCCAACAGAAGAAGCTTAAGAATATGATCCAACAGAGGAAGCTTAAGAATATGATCCAACAGAAGAAGCTTAAGAATATGATCCAACAGAAGAAGCTTAAGAATATGATCCAACAGAAGAAGCTTAAGAATATGATCCAACAGAAGAAGCTTAAGAATATGATCCAACAGAAGAAGCTTAAGAATATGATCCAACAGAAGAAGCTTAAGAATATGATCCAACAGAAGAAGCTTAAGAAATGATCCAACAGAAGAAGCTTAAGAATATGATCCAACAGAAGAAGCTTAAGAATATGATCCAACAGAAGAAGCTTAAGAATATGATCCAACAGAAGAAGCTTAAGAATATGATCCAACAGAAGAAGCTTAAGAATATGATCCAACAGAAGAAGCTTAAGAATATGATCCAACAGAAGAAGCTTAAGAATATGATCCAACAGAAGAAGCTTAAGAATATGATCCAACAGAAGAAGCTTAAGAATATGATCCAACAGAGGAAGCTTAAGAATATGATCCAACAGAAGAAGCTTAAGAATATGATCCAACAGAGGAAGCTTAAGAATATGATCCAACAGAAGAAGCTTAAGAATATGATCCAACAGAAGAAGCTTAAGAATATGATCCAACAGAGGAAGCTTAAGAATATGATCCAACAGAAGAAGCTTAAGAATATGATCCAACAGAGGAAGCTTAAGAATATGATCCAACAGAAGAAGCTTAAGAATATGATCCAACAGAAGAAGCTTAAGAATATGATCCAACAGAGGAAGCTTAAGAATATGATCCAACAGAAGAAGCTTAAGAATATGATCCAACAGAAGAAGCTTAAGAATATGATCCAACAGAGGAAGCTTAAGAATATGATCCAACAGAAGAAGCTTAAGAATATGATCCAACAGAAGAAGCTTAAGAATATGATCCAACAGAAGAAGCTTAAGAATATGATCCAACAGAAGAAGCTTAAGAATATGATCCAACAGAAGAAGCTTAAGGAAACTCTGCAACAAGCAATTATCAGTTAGGGAAGAAATTACCTCCATTCAGCGACATGTGGCTGTTCAAACAGAGTGACTAAGACCCGTCCTGCTCCACCCAGAGACTAGTAAGTAAGTAGTAGTAATCTTTATTTATATACCACCTTTTCACTGCAGATCTGAGTGTCAAAGCGGTTTACAATTGTTAATTTTTTTGGGCATTTCTCTCTCACTCCACACAGAGATGGGAGCGGGGTCGCCGGTACAGGAGGCGCATTCTAGAACTATTGGACATATTTTAGTGGTAGGGAAAACCGGAGTACCCGGAGGAAACCTACGCAGACACGGGGAGAACATGCAAACTCCTCTCAGAAAGGCCCTGGTCCGACCGGGATTCGAACCCAGGACCTTCTTGCTGAGAGGTGAGAGTGCTATCCACTCAGCCACCATGCCGCAACTACTCCACCTCTGCTGCGGAGACCCGTCCTGCTCCACCCAGAGACTACCCCACCTCTGCTGCTCAGACCCGTCCTGCTCCACCCAGAGGCTACTCCACCTCTGCTGCTCAGACCCGTCCTGCTCCACCCAGAGGCTACTCCACCTCTGCTGCTGTGACCCGTCCTGCTCCACCCAGAGGCTACTCCACCTCTGCTGCTGAGACCCGTCCTGCTCCACCCAGAGGCTACTCCACCTCTGCTGCTAAGACCCGTCCTGCTCCACCCAGAGGCTACTCCACCTCTGCTGCTGTGACCCGTCCTGCTCCACCCAGAGGCTACTCCACCTCTGCTGCTAAGACCCGTCCTGCTCCACCCAGAGGCTACTCCACCTCTGCTGCTAAGACCCGTCCTGCTCCACCCAGAGGCTACTCCACCTCTGCTGCTGTGACCCGTCCTGCTCCACCCAGAGGCTACTCCACCTCTGCTGCTGTGACCCGTCCTGCTCCACCCAGAGGCTACTCCACCTCTGCTGCTGTGACCCGTCCTGCTCCACCCAGAGGCTACTCCACCTCTGCTGCTGTGACCCGTCCTGCTGCTCCACCCAGAGGCTACTCCACCTCTGCTGCTGTGACCCGTCCTGCTCCACCCAGAGGCTACTCCAACTCTGCTGCTCAGACCCGTCCTGCTCCACCCAGAGGCTACTCCACCTCTGTTGTTATAACCTGAAGGGCTGTTGCTGATTATTACTAGTATTAACTTTTTTGGATGATGATTTTTATTTTTATTTTTTGCTGCTACTGCACACTTGAATTTCTCTGACGGGGATCAATAAAGTATCTATCCATCTATATATCTGTTTTACTTTACTGGAAGCTCCCATGATTTTTTAACCGTTTTAAGTCATCAAAATCACAAAATTAGTGAATAAATAAATGCACATTCTTGGGACCATTTGTAATCTCTATGTAAGTCTTGAGAATTGCCTTAACTTCTCTCTTTTAGGGATTTGAATGTATTTGATTGTCATTTTTAATTACGTTTATCTTTTAACTATATCCTATGATTGTATGATTGCGAGCAAGGGACCAATGCACAATTTCTTTTGGGATCAGTAAAGTATATATATATCTATCTATAACAACAGACAGATCTGAAATGATAGATTGATGTCAGAATGATCCTCGGGGGGCGCAGGGGGTTTGAGGCCTACACCTCGTCAGGAAGCACTGAAACTTCAAATCAGATCTAATGTGACTTTTTCACAATTTAATCTTCAGATCGGCAAAAATCCCTCGGCGACACATTGAGAGGAGGACACGCCACAAAGAGAAATACTGTGCACCCAGACACACATCTTGCAGAGCAGCAGTTGAAGGCTAACGGAAATTTGACAACGCAGTGAAACGGCTCGAATAAAGAGATTGTCGCGAGCAAACTTGAACTCCACAAAACTCGCCTTGCTTTAAATCACTCCTGACAAGATGCGAACGTCCTCCACTTTGCTCAGTGAAAACCAAGATCAGGTCGGTAAAGGATTCCAGATGAGACGCGGGATTCGGTCCAAGGCCACATTCCTACGCTCGATACCAAAAAGCGCAGCGAGACGTGAACTATCCCTGAGCCTCGTTGTTCTGGTGCAGTGAATGAGATGGAGGTCAGTGTGATGATGATGATGATGATGCTGCTGCTGCTGCTGCTTTCCCGGCGGCCGGACTTAAACTTAAAACAGGGCCGAGAGTCTCACCTTGCATCCCTCGCAGGCGCTGACACCGTAGTGGTACCCTGAGGACTTGTCCTGGCACACAAAGCAGGGTTTGTAGACTCGGGGCGGCGGGGGCGGCGAAGGGGGACTTGGCACTATCTCCTCTGAGCTGGTACTCTGCGTCTCTATCGCTGTGAGGAGAGAGAGAGAAGAAGAAGAAGAAGAGGATGGTTAGCGATCAGAAGCCGACATAGCGAACCAATCGAAACCGCTGAGATAAACATGCAATCTCCTCTGTACACACACGTCTGCAGCCCTGACCAAGAGGAGGCCAGATCTGTAATCAGGCCGGTCAGAGAGAGAATCGCGACGTCGGCAACTTCCATTGTTTTACATGTTGAAGAGAACACAGATATTCGACCAGCTGACCCCGTAGTATTGTCTACATTACGTCTTTTTTATCACAAACATATTTAAAACAGTCGTCTCCTTGGAATAAGCATCAACAGTGAGATTTATTGGCGGAGAAAAGTTTGATTAATGGTGAGGGGCATCCAATCAGGAACCTGTGGGGGCGGGTCAAAGGTCGAAAAGTTACTGCCCTTCACTTTAATCTATTGTTCTCAAAGTTCTATTTTAATCCTTTTTGTTGATAGAACCAGAAACTTTAGCCTTATTCCAAATCACATTTGCTTCTCCAGAGTGAAATTGCTTCATATTCAAGTCATTTTAAGTCTATTACAGACGCAAATTTGATTTCACATTCTTATTTTTTGTTCAAATCCACATATTTATACCATCTTTAAGCACTTATGAACTTGGAAGTGGAAGTGCAACATGAGAGACAAAGGAAATCCAAGAACATTGACGATTTATGTTTCTTAAATCGTGGTGTGGTTTAAATCATGATCCCAGCTACAGCTTGAACTACACGTGCTACAAAGTCAGGATTCAAGAATTTAGTTGCCATTTGCAGTAAAAACACATTTGAAAAACTGCGCAAGACCCAGCCCCAAGCTCTCATTACACCTACATCTGCCTGAACCACTCTAGATTAAAAAAAATCTGCTATGTTCCATATATTCTAATTTTTGCAGATTTTTTACTCATCTCCAGTAAAATGGTTGGAGTAGAAAGGCATTTCTTTTCGACCAGTAGATTACCGACTCTCTGCCTCCGCTGCGTCAGATTATACAAGTAGATTATGTGAAGCAAGTGCACTAGACTTTGGACTTGATATACCGTCCATATAGCTGCACTTTTGAATTAGCCAGAGGAAAAGGCGGGCGTACAGTGGGCGTAGAGTGGGGCGTACAGTGGGGCGTAGAGTGGGGCGTACAGTGGGGCGTACAGTGGGGCGTACAGTGGGGCGTACAGTGGGGCGTACAGCGGGGCGTAGAGTGGGGCGTACAGCGGGGCGTACAGTGGGGCGTACAGTGGGCGTACAGTGGGGCGTACAGTGGGGCGTACAGTGGGGCGTACAGTGGGGCGTACAGTGGGGCGTACAGTGGGCGTACAGTGGGCGTACAGTGGGGCGTACAGTGGGGCGTACAGTGGGGCGTACAGTGGGGCGTACAGTGGGGCGTACAGTGGGCGTACAGTGGGGCGTACAGTGGGGCGTACAGTGGGCGTACAGTGGGCGTACAGTGGGCGTACAGTGGGGCGTACAGTGGGGCGTACAGTGGGGCGTACAGTGGGGCGTACAGTGGGCGTACAGTGGGGCGTACAGTGGGCGTACAGTGGGGCGTACAGTGGGGCGTACAGTGGGGCGTACAGTGGGGCGTACAGTGGGGCGTACAGTGGGGCGTACAGTGGGGCGTACAGTGGGGCGTACAGTGGGGCGTACAGTGGGGCGTACAGTGGGGCGTACAGTGGGCGTACAGTGGGGCGTACAGTGGGGCGTACAGTGGGCGTACAGTGGGCGTACAGTGGGGCGTACAGTGGGGCGTACAGTGGGGCGTACAGTGGGCGTACAGTGGGGCGTACAGTGGGGCGTACAGTGGGACGTACAGTGGGGCGTACAGTGGGCGTACAGTGGGGCGTACAGTGGGACGTACAGTGGGACGTACAGTGGGACGTACAGTGGGGCGTACAGTGGGGCGTACAGTGGGGCGTACAGTGGGGCGTACAGTGGGGCGTACAGTGGGGCGTACAGTGGGCGTACAGTGGGGCGCACAGTGGGGCGTACAGTGGGGCGTACAGTGGGGCGCACAGTGGGGCGTACAGTGGGGCGCACAGTGGGGCGTACAGTGGGGCGTACAGTGGGGCATTGTGAGGCGGCCTCCTGGCTCACAGCTGAAGACAAATAATTGTATAAGGACCGAAGGCTCGTCAAAGGAGCTATTGTGGGAAAGAACACGGCGGACCAGGTAATAACAGCAGCGTGATTTAGTAAACATCTTTAAGCAGTCAGGAGTTAGCGTTTAAGGTTTGTTTTCCACTTTTCAAGATACAGAGAGTAAACATGTTATTTATACAGCGCTTTCACAGACCACAGAGAAAGAGGTTTGTTATTAAAGGTATTTGCTTCTTCTAAACAAGACAATAGTAAGTTATGCAATGTTATTTTGTTGACACATGATACATATACAACAAAATAGAATAATATAGAAGAACCAAACACTTTTATTTCTACTAAGAAGACAGGATTAGGGTAATTTGGTGTATTTTCCATTCAATTCAATTCATTTGTGGACAGCCCTCAATTAAAACAGTCGTCTCAGAGTTGTCAAGGCCTCAACAACTGATCAGAGAATCGAACGGACGGTTCGGAAAAACACAAAAAAATATTCAAAATCTCTGGCAGTATGAAGAATGCTTCTTTATATATGGCTGGCAGTGAGTGAGTTAAAGGGCCCTAATCTGTAAAAAAGGTTAATAAATATAAATCATGCTCTTTTACAATACTTTAACTGATAACAGTAGTTCAGAGATATTAGGATTTCAACATTTATTTTACAGCCCCTAAATGTTGTTTTCATTTCGATGTCCCGCTCTCCACCGTTTCACCAATCAGAAAGTCTGTGATCCGGGCGCCAGAACTCCCAGCGTTGAGCTAATCTCACTGTTAAAGGCACACCGCGGACTTTGTGACCTAAAGAGTTGACACATATGAGTTATTTTATATGAATACTTGGGCCAATATACAGCGCTTGACACTTGCAATGCTCCGAGCGGGGCTGCCCTCTTGAAATACCGCCCATGTAACTTTAGAGCAGACGGACCGTCTGCCACCAGGTCACGTGACTTGGAAGAAAGATATGCTTTACGGCTACAGGCGCTGATATACTCATGGAGCTAAGGCTTTTGCTACTCATTTTTCACCTGCTCGACTCCTGGTCATGGCTGAGGCAAGGAAAAATTTTAAACCTTCGGAGGAGGCTAAAAAGAGGAAACGCGAAAGGGATCGTGCTGTAAGCTGCATGTCTGTATGAGCGCTGCTCTTCACCTGGTTCCTGGATGTCATCGACTGCAAAGATATCATTCCACGCAGCACGAGCTAGACGCAGAACTCCCTCATCCAGGATATAGAAGTCCATGTGTGGTAGATTACTAATGCAGCGGTCTGGAGGCTGACCACAGCAGAGTCTCTCAATATCTGTAGGCATGTCTCTACAGTTTGAACACACACACCAGTGCATGCTGTCTGAATACACACTCAAAATTGCCTGGCCTGCCAAACGATATGCTTTTTCAAAGACATATAGTCTGGGAACGAGCTTGATCTCAGCGAATTCCCGGTGGGCGTGGTTGACAGACTGCATCAACCAATTAGATGCACACAGGATATGACGCAGCAACTAGCGGCACCCAAGCCGTTTCAGTAAACACAAAACAAGGGATGGCGGCATGTCAGCTAGTGCAAATGTAAACGACTGCTGTCGATTTTGTAACAAAAACTTAAAGATACGAGGAGTTATTAGCAACTCAAAGGTGAAAGGAAGTCCCGCCTCTCGGTGCGTGATTGGACCGATGTGGGTAAAATCGTGAAATGATAGGCTAGGAAGAGGTGTCCAGACGGTTCTTCTTTTGAACAGAAAGGAGGAGTGTCTGGCAGGCCAGGCAACACTCAAAAGACACCGGCTGACTGTTTGTTGACTTTTGCGACAGTGCTGAGTTGCTTGTGGCCACTAGGGGCGCTAAACGTGAAAGTTGCAGGTCTAGCGCCCCTAGTGGCCAAGAGTTACACGGTGTGCCTTTAAAGTGCCATGTGGCCGCAGAACTAAAAAAGGTGCTGTTATGATTCTCAAATCATTAATGAAAAAAAGGGACTAAAACCAGGATTTAAATCAGGGATGACTTTGTGAAAAAGGTGTTGGTTATAGATTTGTTGTTGACAAAACTCTTGACTATCCCAGCTGGATTCGTCTACATATCTGGCAACCTGAGTCACGTAGCAGTACCACTTTTAGTCAGATTTTTACATACTGCTCCGTTAATAAATGCCCTTAAATGTCCTTGAAAATCCTTGAATGTCTTGGATCATCCCTGGACCAGACTCTCAGACCACAACCACCGCTCACCAACTCACAACAACCGGATTAACTACAAAACAAGTTGATAAAGCGACCCTACATGCATGTTCCCATCAAATATTCACCCATAGTCAGTATAAAAGTGAGTCCACATCACACCTCTCCGAGCTCCTGGGCCTCTACTGCTGCTTCAAATCAAGTGTATGTGTGTGCGTCCCGAAACAGCATCCTGATACACAATAATAGAATACATATTTGATGGAGTTGCCGGTAGAAGCGCGGCAGAGGAGGATTGTAGAGACAAGTGGCTCAGGAGCTGCTGCCGGAGTGTAAATAAGCCATCTATATTTAACAGAGCGTCGGTCTGTAGTACAGCTGAGAACACAGCGTGCACGTGACTGCGCCGCACAAGCACCCACAACCCTCACCTCCGATCGCACACGCACACACACACACACGCACACGCACATTCTCTCCCCTTTCTTAGCCAGCCTGCGGTTTAGAATCTGCCAAATCTCCCAGTGCATACGCAGCAGATGGTGCCGAGCGAGATTAAATTCAGAACAACCAAAATAAACCGACCGATGCCCAGATATGTTTGAGGGCTTCCTGGAAAAAACAACACGCAAGCGGAGAAAATAGGGGGAAAAAAAGAAAAAAAGGCCTGGGATCTGTAAAACCAAACCTTATCGCTTCAGTAGGAGAAACAACACGCCAGGTCCGAGTGGGTTTCGGGTGGCCGGGAGCCGGGACAGTTAAGCTAAACAGCAATAAAGCTTGGATTGGACTGCCAAGAGCCAAAAAGGACACGCAACCGTGGAGAGAGACATGGATTTGATGGTATCACTGTCATCTGGCACTTTGACTCCAGTGACGACCTCTTAAAAGCTGAATGTAAAGGGGTCAGTGTTGATTATGGAGACACTTATGCACGCCCAAATGTTTCTTTAAGCAGAGGACAACACAGACTTCAGATTCAGACCCAGATTCAGACTGCTTTATTTATCCCTCCTGGGGGCGATTGATTTGAGCATGCTGCTTTAAAGGCTCTTTGAAGCCGCAAGGTTTTATACATGAAAAGCTCATTTGCAATATGTGATATCTCAGGTTTCTAGGTTAAAAAGTTGTATCTCTCTCTCTCTGGTCTCTCTCTCTCTCTCTCTGGTCTCTGTCTCTGGTCTCTCTCTCTCTGGTCTCTCTCTCTCTGGTCTCTCTCTCTCTGGTCTCTCTCTCTCTCTCTCTCTGGTCTCTCTCTCTCTCTCTCTCTCTGGTCTCTCTCTCTCTCTCTCTGGTCTCTGTCTCTGGTCTCTCTCTCTCTGGTCTCTCTCTCTCTGGTCTCTCTCTCTCTGGTCTCTCTCTCTGGTCTCTCTCTCTCTCTTTGGGTCTCTCTCTCTCTCTCTCTCTGGTCTCTCTCTCTCTCTCTCTCTGGTCTCTCTCTCTCTCTCTCTGGTCTCTCTCTCTCTCTCTGGTCTCTCTCTCTCTCTCTGGTCTCTCTCTCTCTCTCTGGTCTCTCTCTCTCTCTCTCTGGTCTCTCTCTCTGGTCTCTCTCTCTCTGTCTCTGGTCTCTCTCTCTCTGGTCTCTGTCTCTCTCTCTGGTCTCTCTCTCTCTCTCTGGTCTCTCTCTCTCTCTCTGGTCTCTCTCTCTCTCTCTGGTCTCTCTCTCTCTGGTCTCTCTCTCTCTGGTCTCTCTCTCTCTGGTCTCTCTCTCTCTGGTCTCTCTCTCTCTGGTCTCTCTCTCTCTGGTCTCTCTCTCTCTGGTCTCTCCCTCTCTGGTCTCTCTCTCTCTCTGGTCTCTCTCTCTCTGGTCTCTCTCTCTCTGGTCTCTCTCTCTCTGGTCTCTCTCTCTCTGGTCTCTCTCTCTCTGGTCTCTCTCTCTCTGGTCTCTCTCTCTGGTCTCTCTCTCTCTGGTCTCTCTCTCTCTGGTCTCTCTCTCTGGTCTCTCTCTCTCTCTCTGGTCTCTCTCTCTCTGGTCTCTCTCTCTGGTCTCTCTATCTAGTCTCTCTCTCTGGTCTCTCTCTCTGGCCACAATCTTCAACATCTTTTGTTATCGGCAGTAGATTTGACAGAACTTGGCGAGTACATTGGGTGAGTGAGATGAGAGATTGGTGAGAGGTTTAAATACAAAAACATGTATAAAGTCCAGAGACGGCGGTGGACGGTGAGAGGTTACGACACCAACTGAAGAGCAACATCAGAGGGAATGACATTGTGCAACGGCAGGACTGTGAGAAGACGGGGCTCAACTTTTGCCATGCAACAGGGCTCTGGTGTCAAAGCAATTACATGTCCGCTGAACGCCGCTTACGTAACCATGCCGACAACTCTCTTTACCAACTCGCCATTTTCTGTGCAGCTCTGCCACTACGAGCAAGTGCTAAAAACACCAAGCACTTTCCATTAACACAAGGACTGCGTTAACCAGCGTTCTGTCCAGAGCCGTCTTTTTGACTGCTCCCATTCAAATCAACGGGATTCTGAGACCTTCTTTTGACCTTCACTCACTAAAACTGGTGAATATAACTTGAAATGGGCTCTATGCACGCACCACTTCCACGTTTTAGTTATAACACCACTCGACTTCCTGTGCGCGGGGATCGGCTTGAGTTTCAGCAGATGTTTACACGAGTTTCCCAAATAATGCTCAAACGGGAATTAAACTGTGAGGATACTGGGCATTTGTGGGACACAGCAGTGCTCTTTGATTGTGCTGTCATTGTGTTTTTATAAAGTTTGTGGCCACAGTCAAAGCTATTCCTGAATGTATCGATCTAATTACAAAAACACACCACTACAACTCACCACAGGCGATAGCGAGAGCATAAACAGGAAGTAAACGAGCTGGCCTCAGTTTACAGGAAATTACGTCACGCATCTCGCATATAGCCCATACAGCAAAAAAAATAGCTTCCTGCAGACAGTAAACAGTGCGTTGCCATGGTTACAACAACAGCTCCAGGGGCCGAAAGCATCAAAGTGTCGGAGGCTCATCTTTGCATTTGTGGATACTTGTAAATGGAGTTTTTACAGACTGTGAAGGTATTTTGATTTAAGGATTACGTTAATTCAACCTGAGATTGGATTATTTTCTGGGAGTTAATTCTAAACAAAACTAATTCTGAATAAAACTACAAGTTAAAGGGTCGGTCTGTGGTTTATATTTCTAAAATGATGCTATATCTCATTACGTGTTGGGATTAAAATTAAAGATGAATAACTTGTATATTAAATGATTTTAACTACAATGTTAAAGCTTAGGTAACTAACTTTCAGACTACAAAAAACTCAAATTTCTTCTACCACAAGTTTTCACAAGCATGTATCCTTGGTCATCGCTAGATCAGCTTTATCAGACAAAAAAGTGAAAAAGAGAGGCCCACCATCTGCACATCCGCTCTCAGCACAAAGCATCAAATAGTGACTCACAGGGCTCTTAAGTCTGCAAACATGTTTTAAAATCACATATAGACTGAACGGCATGATCTGATTTGTCCACACAACTCTTTCTGTTGGGACAAAAATAACACCATATTTATGAGCAGGAACACTTAGGTACCCTAGCTTTAATATTCTACATACATTTGCAGCAGTCTTGAAAACTCTGTCACTTCTAAGTAAGTCAGCAAAAGAACAAAAGAGACCATTTTCACTTTTTACAGTCGACTCCAGACAAAAGCAAATACCTATTTCAGAAGTCTATTCGACAAGTGGCTCCATTGTTGCCGCACATACAGGACACGGAAAGCCAAGAGACAGGATATTGCGATTCAAACGGACAAATTGCGTTGGTAAAAGTGGACCAAAGTGGACCACAGTGGACCACAGTGTAGCCTATCAGGAGCTGCTAACCTAGACTCATTGGGACGGTCGGCTCATGCACAAACAGTGGTCCTAATGAGAGCGCCCATGAAATCTGGGACACTGGTCTGCGAGGGGGCTGGCCACTGTAATTAAATACAATGGCTAAGTTCAGGAGGCTTGTCAGGCTGAGGCAGAGGTCCAAACAATGGCACGCCTGTACGGAGGACCGGGCTTCCACTGCGACTGCGGCTCTATTCAAGCCCAGGCATCACACAGGACCGCCTATTGTGAGAGCCGGCGGGAGAATGGACTGCCGCACACTAGCTGGACCGGCACGCACTTCCAACTACTGCAGGCACCAGCTTTAACAAATAGGTTTTTTTTACAAGCATGAACCAGGGTAGAAGAGAAGCAGTGATATTACATCAGAAGAAACAGCAGCGGTGGAGTTGGGAGATTTTTCTGGTGTGTTTGTTTACAGTTTTTGAGGTATATTGGAGCTTTTCTTTTGTATTCAGATTGATTTTTATTTGCCATTTCCAGTAAAACTACATTGGAATACATGTGCAAAAAGTCCCCAGTGCGCACCAGATGATTGCGTAATTAAAACAAGCTAAAAAAAAGTACAGGAATCAATTGTCGAAGTGAAATCGATCGACAAAAACAATTCAACACAAGTGCAAGATTATGAAAGTGCTTTGATTTCAGACTGATAACAGATTGTGGATAGACGCTGTTAGCATATCCCAGATGTCCTGCATTAGCCAACGATATCTTCCAGAGGGAAGAAGCTGGAACACGGCTTTTCTCGGCTGGCCAGAAGAGGCATTAGCACTTATAGCACTTACACCGACCGCGATCAGAACATTATTTATAATCTGGTGCATTTGGTTCGTTCACTTCACACACACTGGACACTCACACCACCACCAGCCATTCACTACTAATGTACATACCAGCGCGCACACACACACACACACACACACACACACACACACACACACACACACACACACACACTGGACACTCAGACCACCACCAGCCATTCACTACTAATGTACATACCAGCGCACACACACACACACACACACACACACTGGAGACTCAGACCACCACTTCATTCTTTTTTCCGATTTACGATGTCATTAAGATTTCTGTTATGGAGATATGAGAATTCTGAAGTGGAGGAAAACTGAGACATGGATATATTTTTTTAAGTCCTTTATCTTGAAAATATTGGCAGTGGCAAACGATGAGCAAGTTAGAAAAGACTGGAGCAGAGAAAACAGTCTAAACGCACTAACAATAACAATACTAGTTTATTTAGGCTCTTGTTGGTATAGTATTGACACTGAAGTGATGTGTGTTTTGACCTATAGTATATCGATCCAGTCCAGCCTGTGCTATACCCGGGTCAGTAAAGGTTGCATGAGACCTGGCAGCAAATGTTGTCAGACCAGTTCTCGGTGTGGGAAAGAGCCAAACAGGTGTGAGCAATGCAAATACAACACTCCTACGGAGGCTGGAGACCACTGATCTGTCATGAAAACTAATATTTGCTCATTTACTAATGTTTTGAGCGGTGTGTAGATGAGAGGTGTGCTCGTAAACACTTTCAAAAGGTCTTGAAGTGAGCCGTGCGTGCCTTCCCTGGTTTTCTCATTCAACGTATACCTTTCAGTTGGAGAGTACCCAATATAGTGTAACAGCCTAATGTCGCTTTGTGCAGCGCTAAAGCCCTGCTGATTTAATTAAGTTCAAGAGCGAGTGGTTAGTAATGCTGCTCTTCAGATCCACTTTGCATACATCACCAGCCACAAGTGCACATAAAAGGAGAGGCTAACCCTCGCTGGCCACATCCTCCATAAGCAATTACCGCATGACTAGACTTAAATGGACAAATATGCACACGGCCCAAATGAAATCCATTCCGCTGATGAACCGGCCCAAGCTCCGCCGCTGACACTGGATGGCCTGGCTAGAATCAGCACATCAAAGGCAGCAGGAGTGAAAGTCCACAGACGCATGGACACACAAGCAGCCAAGCCCAGAGCCATTACGGAGAGTCCAGACAGACCCCTGCCTCAGCCCAGCACTTCCATAGGTTCAGCTCTGGGTGAGTCCTGAAAGATTGGATTATCTCTTCCTCACTGGTTACATGGACCCAGCTGTGAAGCATATTAATGAGATTTCACCATCGTTAGGGCCAGACTAACTACATTAGCAGACAGGCTGGACTGCAGAGAGGAGAACTACAGTGGACAGTGCCCCCACTTTCCTGAATCCAATGCATTGTGTCCCTCTTGGGGTCTATTAGGTTATTTGGACACACATGAGCGCAGTGTACAAGGAACATCCAGACGGCGGCTTTGTGGGGAGAGGGAGACAGCGGACAGACCACCAGGCCAACATTAGGCCAAGCTTTGATGTTGCTTTAAAATAATGAAGTGGGATGGTCGATAGAACAGCCGCAGGGACAGAGACGGCCATGTGGAACCTGCCGAGCTGTAATGTGTCACACCACCATAAAACAGACACGCAACAGACACAGAACAGAGCCCACAGTCTACAGAGCACAGCCCACAGAGCCTACAGAGCACAGCCTACAGAGCACAGCCCACAGAGCACAGCCCACAGAGCACAGCCCACAGAGCCTACAGAGCACAGCCCACAGAGCACAGCCCACAGAGCACAGCCCACAGAGCCTACAGAGCACAGCCTACAGAGCACAGCCTACAGAGCACAGCCTACAGAGCCTACAGAGCACAGCCTACAGAGCACAGCCCACAGAGCACAGCCCACAGAGCACAGCCCACAGAGCCTACAGAGCACAGCCCACAGAGCACAGCCCACAGAGCACAGCCCACAGAGCCTACAGAGCACAGCCTACAGAGCACAGCCTACAGAGCACAGCCTACAGAGCACAGCCCACAGAGCACAGCCCACAGAGCACAGCCCACAGAGCACAGCCCACAGAGCACAGCCCACAGCCCACAGAGCCTACAGAGTACAGCCCACAGAGCCTACAGAGCACAGCCTACAGAGCACAGCCCACAGAGCACAGCCCACAGAGCACAGCCCACAGAGCCTACAGAGCACAGCCCACAGAGCCTACAGAGCACAGCCCACAGAGCCTACAGAGTACAGCCCACAGAGCCTACAGAGCACAGCCCACAGAGCCTACAGAGTACAGCCCACAGAGCCTACAGAGCACAGCCTACAGAGCACAGCCCACAGAGCACAGCCCACAGAGCACAGCCCACAGCCCACAGAGCCTACAGAGTACAGCCCACAGAGCACAGCCCACAGCCCACAGAGCCTACAGAGTACAGCCCACAGAGCCTACAGAGCACAGCCTACAGAGCACAGCCCACAGAGCACAGCCCACAGAGCACAGCCCACAGAGCCTACAGAGCACAGCCCACAGAGCCTACAGAGCACAGCCCACAGAGCCACAGAGTACAGCCCACAGAGCCTACAGAGCACAGCCCACAGCCTACAGAGTACAGCCCACAGAGCCTACAGAGCACAGCCTACAGAGCACAGCCCACAGAGCACAGCCCACAGAGCACAGCCCACAGCCCACAGAGCCTACAGAGTACAGCCCACAGAGCACAGCCCACAGCCCACAGAGCCTACAGAGTACAGCCCACAGAGCCTACAGAGCACAGCCTACAGAGCACAGCCCACAGAGCACAGCCCACAGAGCACAGCCCACAGAGCCTACAGAGCACAGCCCACAGAGCCTACAGAGCACAGCCCACAGAGTACAGCCCACAGAGCCTACAGAGCACAGCCCACAGCCCACAGAGCCGAACCCACAGAGTTCACAGAGTCCAGTGTACAGTAAAGCAGATCCCATCTACATGATGGCAGCTATTTTAGACAATATATGACATAGACTGGAAGTAGGAGTTGTATGTACCGATGCAAATGAAGAAAGTAGGTTTTCTAACATTTCTGAAACTCCTGTATATATAGCCTCAACATTGCCTTTATAAATGCTGACATTCGAGGTCTCTACAATTCAATGGAATTGAAAGTGGGCCATTATTTTTCTCCCACGTTTAAAGCAGTGAAATTGACTTTAGCAAAATAATTAGGCTGCTCAAGTGCCACAGGAATGTGCCGGCTAAAGCCAACACATTAACACACACAGGAATGCTTTGTCAGCACTCTTCATTTAGTCGAGAGGGAAATGGCACAGTTTCCTCGCTTCCAGGGAAATCCTGCCATTCTCTCTCAGAGCGTCATAACAAGACGCTACTGGAAATGGATGCAGCTTTGACACTGATTAGTGACAGCGCAGGGCAGATCTGAATACAGGCGGAGTGGGTGAGGGGCTGACACACACACACACACACACACACTCACACACTCACACACACACACACACACACTCACTCACTCACACACACACACACACACACACACACACTCACACACACACTCACTCACACACACACACTCACACACTCACTCACTCACACACACACTCACACTCACACACTCACACACACTCACTCACACACACACTCACACTCACTCACTCACACTCACACACACACACACACTCACACACACACACACACATGTGGATTGACAGCTGTAGGGAGACACACAATGGAGCCTGTTTGTATTTAAGCTCAGAGTGTGAACTGTTATGGTGAGAGAAGAAGCAGGAGGGAGGAATCTGGCAGCACTGCAGACGAGCATAAACACACACACGCACACGCACACGCACACACACACACTGTGAAGGAGAGGCAGCAAGGTTGAAGTCGGGGCACACCTCACGCCTACAATATTTACCGTAACTGAATCCATCCTCTGCACACTCCGTCTCCTGTCACTTTAACCTCTATCTCTCCTTCAAGCTTCTGCAGATCCAACACACACCAACACTGAGTCACACGTCAGTCACAACAACACAACACAACACAACAATACAATTTAATACAACCGACTATGTGCTTCATCTCCAAACCAAACACCTGCTAAAGGGACATTGGCGTCAGAATGTCCACCGGTCTCTTTGATGTCTCTGCGACCTGCTCACACACCTACAGCCGGGGCCACCCTGCTCCACGCTCCACATACGCTATTTCTGTCTCCATTTAGCCCTTTTAGATGAGCACCGAGGCAGCACGGTCCAGTAGCTTCATGCTAACAGCCAAACACAACAGTCAAAATGATGACAAGCACATATCTGCAATCGTACCAAATGCTGAGAAAAATACATTATTATTTCACAGGGCACGCTCACTTAACAATTTTGTAAACACTAGAACAGTGAATTTGACGGCTTTTTGTTTTGGAAGTCTAATTTCTCCGCCTTATGTACGTTTTTGGTCCTCATAACTTTTGTGACTTTTTCTGTGTCTAAATGTAGTTCATTTCTATGTTTTTATCTGAAATTATCTAGCTAGTTATCAAATCATTAGCTAGTTACCATAGCAACACACTGTTTACTTGCATCAGTTAGCATTCAGTTTAGCAATACTTCACGTATACTAACCAGTATTGGCATGTATTTAAGATAAAAGCCAAAATACTTACTAATATTACTTACTAATATTTAATACTAAACTGAAAACCGAATTCTATAAATCTGAACGGGAGTCGCCAAAGTGACCGCTATGAGAGTTCTAGTTTAGTTTCAGTATTCTCAGAGTCTATAGTGTTAAAGGAAAGAGTTGAGCGGACGAGTTTTGCGGCCGTTGCAGATGGTTTACTGTCAAGAGAGCAGAAAGTGTTGAGCAAAGTTGTATTTTTTCTTCCAGGATGGGCCCAGTGTGGACTCCTGCCGCTGACCTTGATGGATAGCATTCCAAATTGAGGCCAAATAACTCCCCCATCATGAGCGTGAGGGCAAGAAAAACACGGCGCCGCAGTGATAGATGTGAGGGCCGAGTGGAGCTGGTGTCTGGCCTCTTGTGATAATCGCCCCTCAGCAGCAGGAAGCACACCCGGGTTTGTCTTAGGCACAAATGGGGCAAACGCAGAGTTTCTTAAGAGCGGTAATTTATGGCGTCTTTAGGTGTGGCTCGACAGGTCCCGTTCCTACATCATGCTCTCGTACCTCTTATTACATATTTATAAGAATGTGGAGCATGGGGGTCTCCGGTCTTTTCCGCTCGACCAAAATGACAGCGAGCTATTCTTATTCTTGTGTTTCATGAACCTGGCCAGTAGGGGGTGAATGAGCAGAGGTGGGACAACTCAGTTTTGCTCCCATTGAAAACCATTTAAAGTCTGTTTTGGAGTCAAAAGGCTCTCCTCCTGTGCGGTGTACGGTTTGTCTTAATCAGGGACACTCAATTCTAAGGAAGTACTAAAACATATTTCTCAAAAGTCTTGATTTTGAGCATTTTTGGAAAATATAACAGAAGAAATTGCTGGGTTTCATATACAATTTATACATATATAGCATATTTATGTCATTTCTGATTCATTTGAAGAGCTCCTATCGGGGTGGCAATAGGTTGGAGACCCCTGAGCTATTAGCCTGGTCTTACCACACCATCGTACTAATTTCATTTTGGACTTAGCTCTAGATTTGCTCCCTTCAGCTTGGTTAAAAGGTGGGAGGGGTTAACTCCTTTTGCAGATTGAAACGATTGGATCAGAGTTTACCGTAACGTATGTAATGCGCCCGAGTGAGTGAGGCATTTAGCCTAGCTTTAGCATTTAGCCTAGCTTTAGCCATCTCCTTTGCCACTAACGGAGCCCGCGGGAGTAGAGCCACAACATCTTTGCAGCAATGACATTTGTTAACCTTTCCTCCTGCTCCAGTTTCAATTTCTTGATACTTGGATAGAACCAGAATGGAAACTCTACTATTGCATACTCCGCCAAACTACAACCAGAAAATGCGGCGCAAACTCTTGACGTCAGCGACACCTTCCTACAACACCCGCCTCCCCCGCTCTCTGATTGGTTGGAGCGGATTCAACAGAGGTAACAGCAGCCACTAGGATCAGACCCAGACGTACATGTAGGAAATGATCTTGGACCAGAGTTTACGGATAATTCCCGGCTACTGATGTATAGGTTATGAAGAAGTATGTTTAATTTTTATTATTAGATATACTGTAACAGCTTTATCAGAACCATATGACTGCACTTATCGTAACAGTTGGTTCTCTAACATTAGAAGTACACTGCCTGCCCCAAAGGGAGGACACACGTCATAGTGGGTGATGTGTCTGATTACGCAAAAGACTATGGATCCGGTGTTATTATGGCCGAGGAAATACGTGCTTGGAGTTTATCTCTACTGCAATGTTAGCAACAGCCGTTTCCATAACAACATGAGCAAATACATGATCAAAACCTTTTTCTTGCCAAAGTTCATTCACCTTAAAGAAAGGTTATCAAGTAAAAAAAATATCAAAGGAATAATCAAGACAAATCAGAAGAAAATGTCAGTCTTCATCACACTTAATGCACCAAATTTAGATCTTAGAAATGCTGATTTTGACTATGCCTTACTCTATTCTCTACCTCTCTTTTCAGAACGTTTGCACCAAGAGCCAAAGCTGTTTCCTAACCTGTGACTTCCTGTTACTTACATGGCAATACAAACTATTCTATACAAAAACACATTGAATTGAATAGAATAAAATGAAGTTATAAAACCGCTGCACTTTGATGTCCTGACAAACTTTACACACACCTCTGCAGCTAAAGACCAGAAGAAAAATCCAGTGGGAAAATCTTGTAGGAAAGGCCTGTAAGTTGGTGCACACTGGGGTAGTCTTGCACAATTTTTTCCAATGGGGTTTGACTGCAAATGGCAAATATATATATATATATTTTTTTCTAGAAAGCCAGTGGGAAAGACCAGTAAGAAGGCCAGTGGGAAAGGTGTGGAGTAGGTACCAGACAGATATAACAGCTGTAACATGGTGGAGGAGTCGTGGGCAGCGTCTGCAGATACTGGAGCAGCGCACACCGTGTTCTTTCTTATACCGTAAAAACTCAGAGTGGGACGTGTGTGGGAGAAGCCTTTATACCTTTCACAACAGCACACATGAGAAATCAGTGCGTCTCAATCTGCTACTGTCATCTGCGTCCTCAGAGACACGGGAGGACACTTGTCAGAATGTGGTAAGTCTTCATTCATGCCATGTTTACAAGTGGAACATGCATTCTTACTGCGTGACTTTCAACATGACTAAGTTTAGACGAAGCCAAACTCTACCGTGCTGCTCTACTGCAATGTTAGCAATAGCCGTTTCTATGACAACCAAAAACAAAAACATAACCTTTTTCTTGTCAAAGTGCATTAACCTTAACGCAATATTTTCAAGTAAACAAAAAAGTCCAAAGAACAATCAAGGCAAATCAGAAGAAAATGTCACAGCAGAAAATGTCTTCATCACACTTAATCGCACCATTTTTCACGCCGCTAAACTTCAAACATCAGCCACATGAAAAATAAGAACGATAATAATGAAATATGCCAATTTTTAGATGCCAGAATTTCAATATCAAAGACAGTTAATGACATTATGTGCATGAAAACAAGAGCTGGTTTTTGTCTGAAGCGCGGCTCTGCTTCTCATACCCCTTGGTCCCCCGTGAGCGCCATTCTCTGGGGAGCCCAAGATAACTTCCCTTTTGCCTCTGAAATAACAACACACCAGGTTTTCACTGTCGGCGCTGGAACTGGGAACATGTGTGGACGGACCGGGCCCAGGGAGGGAGAAAAGGGGGGAGGGACTGGGGGCACGAGGGGGGCTGGCAGATGGCAAAGGTGAGTACTTCAGGGGCTCGCCTTTGAATAGCTGCGTTAATCATAGCAGTTGCGACGCGGCCAAAGGCAAGAACTCGGTGCCGTTATTT